GATATGCTCAAAGCTAGGCTGATAGAGTTATAGATGCACGAGCAGACTGACTCAAAACCACTCAGTTCTATGTGGTCGATCAAGGAAAATTCTTGGGCTCTCAATGACAAGGAGGAAAGCGGCTGATTTTATAAAACAAAAGATATCACTTGATGCACTAGGAGCAAACCACAACAGAAATATACGATAAGTTTTGTTTGGCGCAAACTAGCAAGGCAAAGAACACGTTCGGAGGACACAATAAAAAAGGATTGACCTTTTGCCTTTCTAGCGCTTTGAAAGGAAACCAAAATATTTTATTACTCAAATACAACTCTCTCCTTCCTTCTCTGACGTGGATTAGCAGATGCAAATTCACTGTCTGCACTTTGCGTAAAACAGATGCACAACCACCTGACGATCAGATTCACACGACAACAAGGATACTAGATCAATACTCAAATAAACCAACGAACACGAGGACACGTGAGGGACGACCGTTCAATAAAGCAAACTGAAATTAAAATATTGCAACGGCACAATGGGTGATAGGATAGGGAGAAAACAAAGATTAACACAAATATTTTTGTGGGGCAATTTTCTGGATTTATAGGACAAAGACAACAAAACTAGGGTAATAATAAACCTAACGGTAATACCTGAAGCTCTAATTACCACTTAATGGGAACGGGGATCCCGATCTTCCGTCAGGTAGTGGTAACTATCGTTGTGGCGAAGAATGACACACCGATCCAGCTTCAGATCGAAAGATCGAACCCTGCAATCTTAGCACCACAACTCCTCTGGTTATCAACCGAGACACGGATCCGGTTGACCTCGCCAAGAAGGCTAATCCCTGCCTGCGCAACGAAGAACACAAGCAAGAACAAGAAAGAAAGCAACCAAATTGCAGATGAATGATTAATCTCACGAAGTTGGGGTCTCACAAACCGATGAACGGCGAAACTGTTCTTGACAGATCAATCTAAGCAAAACCCCAAAACCTAATGACAGCGGCGGCGTATGATTATAAAGGTCTTAGGGTCGTCGCCTATCCTGGACGCGCCCCCTAATGGGCCCAAACACGATACACGGTCCAACGGACCAAAAGACGGTGTCGCAGCACCCTGGCAGATTCTGGACGCTGACTTGTTTTGACGATTCCCGTTGATTCTGAAGGGCTTTTGACGTGAGACCACTTGGATTGGCTTCCTTATCAAATTAGCTTTCCAACCATATATGGATCGTCGAAAACGGAGTCCGGATGCGTCCTGGATGACCAGTTTAAGGCAGATTGGTCCTGGAGGCCGAGGCAGACTCGAACTTGAGTTGCTTTGGGCCTCCACCTCGGGGACTCGAACCGAATTAGCCTCGGGCCTCCTTCTTGACTCGGACACCCTTGCTGGCCTCCTACCCCTCCATACCATGTGCCAAACATGGTCATATGCATGGGTGTCATGTCCTCATCACACGGGCCGGTGGGGCGAGGGTTGCCGGATGGGGCCTGGAAGCCGCCGCCGCCCTTTTGCTGCCACCGCCGCGGCCGCCGCTGCCGCTGCGACTGCCGCCATTGGTGCTGCCGCCGCTGGTCTGAACAGGTCCAGCAGGTGGGCGACACCCGCCTGGACAGCCGGAGGAGGAGGACGAAGCGTTCTCGACAAGCAGGGCGGTGGAGTTGGAGACCTTGTCCTCGTTAGCGAGGCGAAGTTCCTTCAGAGCGAGCATGTCCCGCGCCTGGTTGAAGGACGGGAAGCCGGCGGTGGAGTTGGCGATGTCGTCGGCTGTGGTGGTGAAGCGGCGGTTGAGGCCGCGGAGGAGGTTCAGGACAAGCTGCGAGTCCTGAACGGGATGACCGACGTCGCGAAGGGCGTCGGCGAGGGTCTTCATGCGGCCGCAGTACTCGGCGATGGTGGAGTCGCCCTGCGTCATGGAGTGGAAATCATGGCTGAGGAAGATCGCCCGGGACTGCCTGTTGGCGCGGAAGAGTCCCTCGATGGCGAGCCAGAGGTCCCGGGCGGTCTGGTTGTCATCAGTCATGGTGAGGTCGAGGACGGAGTCGTTGACGGAGCCGAAGAACCAGGAGCGGACGCAACAGTCCGTCTGATCCCAAGCAGGATCCTAGGGGCGAGGTGCCATCGTGCCATCGATGTGCGACCGGAGGCCGAACTTACCGCACAAAGACTTGAAGTAGGACGCCCATCTGGAGTAGGCAGTGGACTTCATCGTCAGCGTCACGGGAATATGGACTTGACGTTGACAGTGGCATAGGGTTGGACGGTAGGGGAGATGAAGCCGTCGCCGCCGGGCGTGTCGCCAGCAGGAGCACCAGAGAAGCCGCCGGTGGCAGTGGGCGGCACAGAGGTGCCACCATTGGCAGCAGGAGGCGGGCCAGAGAGCAGCAAATGGCCAGCAGCAGGGGCTGTGGGGGCGCCGGATCCAGAGGGGACGGTGGCCATGGCACAACAGGCCAGGAGGGGAAGGCGCAGGGAGGCAGGGGAAGAGGGCGCAGGGAGAAAAGAGAAGGATCAGGATCTAATTAGCTGATACCATGTAGAAAGGATATTGGGAAAACACCTCACCCCTAATGAGGGGGGGGGGGGGTTGACCTCTATTATATAGCCAATCAGGCTTGGTATATAAGGAATACAATCAGTGTACATGGAAGGAACGAACAAGCTTCCTAATACACATATATACTTCCTAATACCAAAGAAACTAAGAAACTGAACCGCTGCTACTGCTAAAGATTAAAGAAGATCTCGGAATGTTCCATGAGCGTGTCTGATCTTGCTAGTCGTATGGAACTAATGGATGCATGTTATCATGCACATTGAAATGATTAGGCCAGTCGACGTGCTCTTCTTGAACCAGGATCTGGCTTTTTGTTCTATAGATATTAATTAATTGATGAGCTTCTTGCTTAAATATCTCAGTAATCATTGCCTTGTATCTTACCCTGTGCCTGATGTTAACTTTAATCATGCAGTATTACTAGCTTGGATGTTCTCTGCAGTACATTTTGGAAACAAGTCTGAATATTTTCCAAGTGGCTGTAGTTAGTCTTGCTTATGCATCTGAACAATTGAACAAAGTACACTTCTTATTCTATAAGCCCTCGTGACAGTCATTACTTCTATTGTGGCATGAGCTTCCTGTCTTATGGCATGCCTCGTCTGTGTGACCCAAGTCTCAAGTTAGTCAAGCCAACATTTGGTACCTTTGACTAATTTTGGCTACCATTTGGTTGAGTGCCAAAAGATGTAATGGTAGCTCCCCTCTAGGCTACCTTAGTTGTCAAAGTTCGCCAATATTAAGGCCACTAAAATTGGCGACCTTGATTTTTATAAAAAAAACTAGACCAACATAGGAGGAAGTGGGTGGCTATAAATTAAGAAATTGGCACCTAAATTTGTGTCAGTGAGGACTTGAAGTTGGGTGGTCTGGGCTTTACATCCATACCCTCAACCAATTGAGCTAGGCTTAGTTTCAATTGTGACCTCAATTTTGGCATTCCAAATTTGGATTGTCTACTTTATGAAAAATTTTAGTGCAAATCAAACAGCCCCATGGTCTTGCTTGTTATATTAAAGCATGGTTAACATTGAACACTCCGTTCCTGCAAATTCTGCATGCTACCATTCATTTGAGGCTGTAATTGCTGCATGGACCATCAAATCATCATTGAACATTATAATGACCATTACATGTTATTTACAGCAGCATGCCAGCATGTGATACTAACATTAAACATGCAAAATATTTTTAGGGTAACTTTAGTTATACTTGTTAGGCATCTGAATGTATCTTTTTGTTGAACAAAATGTACCTTTTTTTCAGAACGACACCATTTCTTTCTATATATCAAGACCTAGAAATAATTCAAGCAGGAGATCTTATCCAAAGTTGTCCGCTTAGCTTTAACCAACAGGTTGTGATTGAACTGATCAGATGAATGATTCATCGGCTGAACTGTTCTGATTGTGGTTCAATAATGGTGACAGTATTCTTGAAAACCAGAGCATATCAGCATGGCTATACTTGCTTGAAAAGAACATGAATCATAGTACCATTCTCTTGGCATCTGACTAACTGACTAGAGATCTGTTTCCAGCAAGTTATCTAATACCATGGTTGAGGCATCGCTGACCAGCTCTTGAGAGCTATAATTCCAGCTACCAACAAATCTGGTAAACCCCCAAACCAGCGCAAGGAACTGGTCATGAAAGCTGCTCCTACACCTCAAAGAATTGTGCCCCCACCCTGCAACCACATCACCTTTTCATAAAAAGCATTTAAGTTAATCCAGACTATTCTGGAGCATGGTGAGCAATATAAATTTGCCTATGATGAATTCATTTCTTATGCTTCTTTCAAATTTCTCAAAAAAAATATACAAGAATTTCATTTGCATTGTTGATTCAAAAATAGGCTGTCAGAAGTGTTAGAACACAGAAAGATTGATTGTGTTACTGCACTGCTTGCTATTTTAAGTCGCTGAATCATCAGGTTTCAGCTTGGCTGATAAATCTTTTGTTGGCTTCTCTCAAAGCTGAAAGTTTGCCTTGAAGGAGTTGGGCTTCCCTGAGCTGTTTCAAACCTTATAAACCACAGTTTCCCTAGAACACACTGATTCATTTTTAAGGAATAGAAGTCTCTGATTTACAATTGTTTGGGTTTATTACGAGAGCACTTTTTAGATAATGGAGGTAATCTCTGGCTTCAGCAACAACTAGAGATGAAGAGCTACTTAAAAATGTGGGCAGTGGAGTCATGCATCCACAATTCTAAACATAAACTTATTTGTTCAGATAAAAAGAAACTAGTTACTGGTGAAACAATAAATCAGAATGCTTGACTGTGTTTCAGCTTTCTATGAATTGGATTAGCGGAGACATCTTAGAAATAATGTGTCATTTCTTCAATAATACATGAATACATCAGTTGTTACTATTGTTGTGTACTCTTCTGGTCAACTTTCCCTTAGACAATTATGATCTTCTGAAACTGTTTTTTGTTTTCAGCTGCAGATGCCTTAATGAAGACAGTGATGGTGACAATGCTCTGGACACAAGCAGTGATGTAAGCAATGAGAGTGACAATGACAATGAAAGGTCTATTGGAAGAACAACCCAGTGTTTAGCAGAAAACATTTGCACTGATCAAGAAAGTTTGTCCAGTGATGACTGTGAGTCCAGCAACCAGGAATCGTCCCCTGTTTTCCAATATGTGGAGCATGATGCACCATATGGAAGACAACCTTTAGCAGATATGGTATGTCGTCTTTTGTGGTTCTTGTGCAACCAAATGTAGTATTTGTAACCTAGCTGACAGTTGCTCTTTTATTAATGCCTACAGATTTCAGTATTTGCATGTAAGTTTCCTGATCTAAATACGTACAAGAGCTGTGATCTTCTGTCGTCCAGTTGGATTTCTGTAGCCTGGTACTTCCTTTAACTCCTTTAGCTATTGGTTCATTAGTTACATAGCTGTCTTACCCAATGCAAGTTGATTGCAGGTATCCCATATACGGATACCAACAGGACCCACTCTACAAAATCTAGATGCTTGCTTTTTAACATTCCATTCATTGTCAACAGCACCTGACGGTGAGCGCTCGTGTTTCTTCTTGGTGGAAAACAATGCAAATTAGCATACCCTGTCCTGTGCAGAATATATGTCTGGTTGCATATTAAAAGCAGCAGTAAACCTGAAGAATTTCACTTCTGAGACATTTGCTAATTAGATGCAATTTTGGGCAGGTACGATAAGCGGGTGTCCTGAGACAAATAACTTCCATAACAATAAAATTGCTGCTGTTCCTGGGAAGATCACACTGCCTCTGATCGGCCTAGCATCTTACAAATTTAATGGTTCCCTGTGGACGTCAAATCAGCACCATGAGCAGCAGTTGACTACATCCCTTCTGAAAGCTGCTGATGACTGGCTTTGCCAGCGTCAAGTAGATCACCCAGATTACCGCTTCTTCCTAACACACTAAATTGGATCTTGATCCAAACCCTCTACCTACTGAATACCACAGCTCGATGCCCACTAGTTATTCAATGAACTTGCATTATCGCTATATATAGTACACAAGCACAAGTATCTATGCTTTGTAATATCAATTTTGGGGCTTAGTTTATGTTAGTCCCATATTGGTATCTAGTCAGGAATAGTTGGTGATTGTTTTGGGGTTGTGCTCTAGGAACCAATTAGACATAAACCACCAAAATTTTGTTCAGTGGCAAATACGGGTGGGTGGTGTGCAACCGAGCTAAGTAGGAGGTTGGTTGGTGATATACATTTTGCATATTTCAAAGGTGGTTCTAGGATATATTGAAAATATTTTTCTACTTCTCTCATTGTGTTTGATATATTGTTACCTATGCAGTGATGCTGCTGGATTGTTATTACATATGTATTACCCCGAGAAATATCTTGTGTTAATGCAGGTTAGGGTGTGTGAGATCATGTGATGAAAATTTGGTTTGAAATGAAATCGGCATTGCAACATGATTGGAATTTTTGGTATAGGTAATGCGTATGTGTTGCTTATATATGCTTGTGATAGCATGATTATTGGATAAACTTGTGGTGTTGTCAAATTATTGGTTATTGGATAAACTTGCGGTATTGTCAAATTATCTTGAGTTTTAGACCTCCGATTGATGTGATATTTCGGTTGGGTTATTTAAAAAAAAATTATCTAGTTTATTCTGACCAAGTTTGAGATCAATCAGAGTTACGTTTTTTTTTTTGTTGAGATTCAGTGTTCTGTCTAGAACATAAAATGAGGTGCAATGTTTTTGAGAGCTCATATTTTACATGCACATAGATGATTTCATTCTCCACTCATATTTTGGTTGCAGTTTTTCAAGTACTGGTTTAGGCACTATCATGTTTGGTAACATGACAACGCCTAAATGGTGTCACCAATTGATACGTTTGGTAGACTATGCTGCTAGTATTTTCGTTTTCTCTGCCTATTGCTTGATAACCGTTATGTCTATTTCAATGCATAAATGAGACCACCATTAGGTTAGTGCAATATCTTGTGCTTCCTCTTGTAAAAAAATACTGGCCACATTTGACTGTGCATGACCTTTCATGCATATGACCATTAATTCTTCTAGAATATATTTTTGATATCCTTAAAATTTATAAGATTTCACAAGTAATTTCCAATATGATTTTATAATATAGATGTTTAAAATTAAATACTGGAGGGAGTATGATTTTTTTTATCTGCTCGCAAGTAATATTTTCAGAAGATGGGTCATATATATTCATATGCGGAACTTGAGTGAATACAAACCTGGATGCACATGCACTTGCAGACTTGCCGTGGCAGTCATTAGAAGCAGGTGCAAGCACACCACTTATTTCAAGATTTCAATATGGGGCATTACTAAACAAGGTTTTCCACAGGGCTGAGATAAACCAGACTGCAGCGTCACACTCACACCTGAGACTCCGAAGCTGAACACAAGCACCCACGAAACACAAAACAACAAGGCCACACCGCAATATAGCACCACTTCTCCGGCTGGCTCGGCAAGGGACGGACGCCTGGAGCCTTTCCAACGCCGGCGGTGTTGCGCTGGTGGCTCACGTTACGTGGGCTCTCGTCCGGCGCCGTGAATGGCCGCTGAACGTGGCGCGGGTCTCCGACGCGGCGACGTCAGGGTCGCCACTGACCGCGCCGCCATCTTGAGCCATGCGGGGCGACGGTTGGTTCCGTGGCCAGTAGCAGGGCTGGGACCGTCGTTTCTGCGTGAGTATAGATGGCCAACGGGCCGTGCCGGCCCAGCACGGCCCGACGTCGTGCCGTGCTGGCCCGATGGGAGTCTTGCCTCGACGGGCCGTCGTGCCTGCCGTGCCGTGCCTCCATGGGCTTCGTGCCTGGCCTACGGCCCATGGCACGGCCCGTGGGCCGTCTGACCGTGCCGTGCCGCCCGTTGGGCACGGCCATTTTCCCGTGCCGTGCCGGCCCACAGTCCGACAACCAAAAAAACATCTCATTTTCACCAGATTTTCACCGAGTGTTTGAACGACTTCTTCATTTTCATCAGTTTTGAACAAGATTCCATCATTTTCATCACCATTTTCACAAAAGCTCACAGATTCACATTCACATTCACTACAATACCACACAATCACAAATCACAACACAAGAGAAAAGACAAAGAGACAAGGTTATATGAAAATGATGATCAAAAGGAGCTGTTTTGTGCAATGCTGCCTTATTAAAAATCTTTCTAAGTAAAATTCATCCTTGTGAGAAACCCTAGAAAGGAAAAAAGAGTGCAACCAGCTCAAAGAGTCAAAGTCTTAGTAGTGTCTTATTACAAAAGTCAACCAAAGTGGCAAAGTCCTAGTGACTTAGTAAGTCCACTCCACAATCCACACTCCACAGTCCACTCTCATCTCACACTCACTCACTCAGTCACAGCAAAAGACCAAAAGTACCTGTAAAATTGTACATAATTCATGTCAATATGTCATTCTTTTGCCATTAGTCTGATCTAAACAGGAAATAGGAAAGAATCACTACCTCTCCAGTTCTCCTTCATCAGTCATCACTATCCAGCACCAGCAGTACCATCGCTGCCGCTACCTTCGCCTTCTTCATCCAGGAACAGGTTCTTGAATGCCTCCTCCAGGTCCACGTCCTCAGGTGCATATTGTTCTCTTCTTACTCCTTGCTCCCAGTCCTTTATGCAGGTGAGCATCTCCACATGCTCAGGCAACAAGCGCCGCCACCGGTCTTCGAGTATCCTGCCTGACAAGTTGAAACAAGACTCGGAAGAGACAATAGATAAAGGAACAGACATGATATCTCGAGCCATAATAGATAGGATTGGATAGGTTAGCTTGTGGTCACGCCACCAGAGCAGTATGTCAAAGGATTCCTCATAATATGTGACATGGTCACTGTTCAAGTAAGCTGAGAGCTCACTAACACCAGCTCCAGCTGGAGTAGATGAAGATGAGAGGGAACAGCCAGGGGATGCACCGGGGCCTCCAAAGATCCTTCCCCATGCCTGCTTTCTCATACCAGAATGAGCTGAAGGCTGTGAAACCCTTTGAGACCTAGCTACACCATCAAATTTCTGCTCATACTTGTTGAACAATCTATACATTTCATCTTTCACATCAGCATAGTATGAACTATAAGTGGATTCAGTATGTTGAGCAAGTAGTTCAAGCACATTAAAGAATCCTTTCATCTTAGCTCTAGGATCAAGCATGAATGCATATGAATAAAGCAGTGGAATTTTCTCCCAATATTTAAGAAATTTAAGCTTCGTAGGATAAGCAATCATTCTAAAATCCTGATCTCTTTCAGCTTTATGCAAATGTTCAGCAATGTCAAGAATATGGTGCAAAACAAGTGGAGCTGTGGGATAATAAACATCAGACAAGACAACAGTAGAATCATAAAAGAGTTCCAGGAACACCATTATCTGTTCAGCAACATACCAATGCTGTGCAGTCAACAATTCTGAACCATAATTAGAGTTAAGCCACACAGAAAAATGTTTAAGCATTAAATAGGTGGAATTCCATCTAACATCCATATCCAAGCCAAACCTTCTAGGTCTTATACCCTGAGCAATACAATAATTTTTGAACAATGCAATTCTTTGATTAGAGGAATTCAAAAAGTTTATTGCAGTTCTAAAATCTTCAGTAAAAGGTTTCAATCTCTTCAAGCCAGATTTAACAATCAAATTAATGATATGACAGGCACAACGCTGATGCACAAGCAAATACTTAACCTTATGAGGATCATCACGTGTAGGTGCAGGATAAGAACCCAAGTAACCAAAGAAGACAGGTTGCAAGATATCATAAGCCTTAGAATTAGATGAAGCATTGTCTAGAGTGACAGCAAAGATCTTATCAATCAAACCAAACTCCTCAACCACACCAGCTATTTTTTCAGCAACGTTTTCAACAGAATGTGACACCTCAATTAGCCTAAAACCAACAACCTTTTTCTGCAACTCCCAATCAGCACTAACATAATGACCAACAACAAAAATATAGTCCTCCTTAGTATTACCAGACCAAATGTCAGATGTCAAAGAAACAGACGAGCAAGCAGGCAACAATGAATTCATAAGCAAAGAACGTTGATCAGCAAACATTTTGCCCATATCTCTAGTAGTGGTCTGCCTAGAAACCTTTTCAAATCTAGGGTTATGAGCACGCTTAATGTAATCCTTCTAGGCCTGTGTCTCACCTATGCCTAATGTAAGGTCCAGCCTAGCAATCAACCGGCATAACTCGGTACAAGCAACAGCAGGGTCATACACCCAGTTATGCAAACCATCAGCATTCAGAGCAAGCCTAGACTGGACCCTCTTATCATTATCATGTTTTGCCTTACATGATTTCTGGTGCCGTTTCAAATGACCAGTGCTAGCAGCAGATCTAGCAGAATACCTCTTACCACACATTTTACAGATGGCAGCAACTCTTATGTTACCTTCCTTAATCTCAGTGAAATCCTCCCAAATAGGAGATATGAGCTTACCCTTACCAGTACCACCAGTCGATGAGGTACCATGAGTGTCGATCGAGGCTACCACCCCACCGTCGCCGTCGCCGGCATTGAGATCAATCGGATGGGTGCCATCACCGAAATCGATGCCGAACAGCCCACGGGCATCCTCACCGATGTCGTCGTCGTCCTCGATTTCTAACTCCTCCTCGGGCTCGGGGTGCTCGCCATCGGCTAGGTGGGAATAGACATCCGCCACCACCGGCATGGTGACCCCAGCCGAGGAAGGGCCGGACAGCCGGCCCCGGCCCTGAGTCCCCTGACCTCCAGCTCCAACACCGTCCCTCAACGGTGGACGCTGGTGCTTTGGCGCTGGCGGCCTAGCCATGGTGCCTCCAAAGGAGGAAGACGCGGCGTCAGGCACCACCAACCTACGAAGAACAGAGGACATAACAGAAGAACAGGGGTGAGTCAGTGAGTGAGTGAAA